GGGGTTGATAATTTCGGGGACGCTAGTCTTTGCAGGTGTTGTTTCTTGGTACTTGAATATCATTTGTCTGATGACTGACAAACAAAATTCACCATATTTGGGTTTTCTTCTTGGTCTTCAACTTAACATATTATAAGCATTCAGCATGGAAATGTCAAGAAGAGGAAAAACATTTTTATGTACCACTATAACTCTTGCGAACACAATCAGCAAACCCAATCTGCATGTCACATTTGTCCACAAAGTGCATATTGAGGTTGTTAATCCATCACAGCTGCAGGTTTTACAATGGGTTCATTGGTCTCTCTATTCTGCTTGCCAGTGTCTACCATTTCGTGTCGGTGAACTGATGTCAGCAGTGTGACATCACTTTGCCCATCCCACCGAAATGCATGATGTCTTTGGGCACAAAAAACCTGCACTTCACCTCTACGACTGCCAGCATCGAACCTAGGCATATTTTTTAACGATTTCAAACCACTGTGCCACACACATCTGTCATGTTCACTCGCAAGAAATCACTGAGTATAGGGTTTTGTGTACCAGTTGTCAGTATATAAAATATGCCCTTACCAATTATGGCTCCATTATTGTTCTAACCACATCACCAGAGATACCCAGTAACTTCCTGGAATCTTCCATGTTTTTACCGCCAGTGTACACAATTATATCCAAAACCAGACTATTTTTTGCAATCCACAGAACAAATAACTTTATACCAAAGCGTTTCCTCTTGCTTGGGATATACTGCTTGAATGAGAGTCTCCTTTGAACAAAATCAAAGACTTGCAATAACAAGCTTCCTGAAGGGATAAAAATACATACAGCACTTTTGTTTCAGGTACATAAACACACGTCTGATCTTATATAACCTGTCGCTTCTGTCAGGCTGTTTTGTCTGAAAAGTGTAACATACGTAACAGTAACACAAATCTATTCACTGGTATAATGTCACTGAAAGCAGGGGTTTTAAATCAGGCGGGCTGTTGCCCGTATGTGTTGACACTATGCTTATACACATTGGCATAAGCATTATTGTGGCAAAGAACAGATACATCTCTGCCACAGTTGTGTCCTTCCACTGGTGTAGGCGTGATCTTGGTGACAGAATAGTGTTTGCCATGGGGTACTCATAGTATGTATTGCTTTCCCTGACAATAATGTCCATCAGGGTTCATCGAAGAACAACTGAAAGCATTCCAGTTTCAGTGGATTGTTCCCAATGTACATGATGGCCGTATTCCACTTTGTCCTCCATCAAAGTCATGGGATTTGGGGAAAAAACTCGTCATCTGCTGCCAATCCCAGATGCGGTCAGCTGGTGCATTCTGGATATTGTAATGTGGTTGTGGTAGTGTGGGGTCGGGTGAGGCTGGTTGTAGTTGTGCAGAGTCAGCAGCGCGGGTAGTAGCGTGCCCGCTGCTGGTGTCACATACTCATGCCACCCCTCACTATCACCACCACCGCCTGCTGCCTCACTCACATCATTTATACCCATCGTAACAATATCGTCATCTTCACTATCAGGACGTGGTGTAGGGCCACGGGATGTGCTCCGAGATGTACTCCTTCCTCTTGGAAGAGCATATGGCACACTCCAGACCACATGCGACTCGTATATACTGCCGCTTCACTGGGGAATATTCACCCTCACTGTCACAGCTAGAACTGCTTTAATAACCTTGAAATCACTATCACTATCACTTGCACTGCTCCACTGAGTCTTGTACACGGGCAAATATTTCCTCTTTCGTCCTGGTACAGGTGAACATGAACGAGCCGGCCCAGCACCAGAGGTGGAAGGTTGTGGGTCATCTGAGTTTTCATCACTAATTATATTATCCTGGGTAATTTTCTCGGTCACACCCGCTTCAGAACCAGGGAATTCACTTTCACTGACACTGTCATCACTGTTTGAGCTATCACTTGGGAACAAAAGACCTCCAATCCGCCGAGGAGTGAGGAACTTCTTACCGCGAGGCATGGTGAAAATGGACTACTAAGATGGCGTTCCCACAATGCACCGCTGAGTCCCAGATTTTTTTCACAGGGTGCACACCGACCACTGAGACCCATTCTCTCTCGTGTAGGCCTACCAGCCCTCTCCCGCTTGATTTGAAGCTGCTAGAATTTATGCGTATAGATACGTCAAACACGGTATCTCCCATGACGTATATATACGACCGCGACAGTCAAAGGGTTAACAGAATAACACTTACCTTTACTGGTGATTCTTCTTAGTGTATGGAAGACTGGAGAAGGAGAGAGATTGGATTATTTACTGTTTGGAAGGGGAATCCCCTTCCATCAACACATCAGGTACCAAGTGCTTTTCTGGGGTTACTTCTCTTCTTAATTTCTGAAGAAGGCACCTTCTTCCATCTCTCTTCCTCCTCCTCTGCAGCAAGATTCTGAGCTGCAATCTTTTGCTGTTCCTGCTGAAGCTCTTGTAGCTCCTCAGTGGTTAGCTCTTTGTTGTGGTCCTCCACCAACTCTTCCACATCCTCCAAACTCACATCCAGCCCCATGGAACTCCCCAATGCCACAATAGATTTCACAACTGACATAGGCTCATCAGGGTCAGCCACAAACCCTTCAAAATCCCTCTTGTGGACACAATCTGGCCACAATTTTTTCCAAGCAACAACAGCTTTCTTGATTTCCTTTTTCTTTGCCACGATGGAAGATATGGTTGTATGGGGTTTGTTATACATCCTGGCCAGTTCGGCCACACATATGCCACTTTAATATTGTTCAATGATGTTTTTCTTAAATTCAATCGTATTTCTCACCTTCTTTACCAAAGGCTTGGCATTAGGAGCTTTCTTTGGAGCCATGGTAGCTTATTTAGCATTTTCAAGCACTAAAATGAATGGAATATTATGAAATATTTCGTATGAACACGTGAGGGGACCGTCGCTCACTGGTAAACAATGGCACACTGGCTGGGAAGGGAGGCAGAGGCGACTCAGAGCCGTGAGTACGCATCCACGACGAAGGACGATTAGCGAGTTAACAGACCATTTGCGAGCCAATGTTTAGACGAAATAACGCGACGATTTCCGAAATGGACGAATTTCAGGCCGGACGATTATTGAGGGACCACTGTATTTCCCTACAATATATTGGGGCACCAAACATTCGCGATTTTTCAACATTCACGAGGCTCTTGATCCCCTAACCCTCGCGAATGTTGAAGGAGACCTGTAATGATAAACAAATTAGTGCAGTTATTGTGTTGATTACAGTGAGTGTACAGTTATACATTATATTGGTCTCACAGGCCACGAAAGTTACTGGAAAAAATAAATATTATAAATGAAAAGAAAAAAGTAATAAAAACCTAAAATAAAATAATGAAACTTTACGGAAGTCACGGATGTTGCCGCCACCAGGTCATTGAGGGTCAACTTCACGCTTCTATGTCTCGGTAACTACTGATCGAAATTTTTTTTTTTATTACCTACAAAAAATTACTGTCTTTAATTCTGTAAGAATTTTTTTTTTTATTATTCAAAAATTTTTGGACCCTGGTGCATGCTTTGAGATTTGGCCTGTGGACCCTGAAAGGGTTAAAGGAGGAGTTTAGGATATTGGCAGTGATTATGTATGAGTGATGGTGAAAGTGTTGAATGATGAAAGTATTTTCTTTCTTTTTGGGTCACCCTGCCTTGGTGGGAAATGGCCAACATGTTAAAAAGAAAGAATATGTGTATGTATGTATGTGGCAAGATTTTGAAAAAAGAAAATTTCTTCTTACAGATTGAAGCAGTATATTTTTCATGAATTAAATATGACTAAAATGAATGAAATCTGATAAAAACTTAAGGCTTTAGGATGTGTTAAAGTCGACAAAAAAATTACCACTCATTGGTAACAGTGACTTAAATGTGCTAGTGATATTTATATTTTTCTCCATACGGAAATGGAGAAGATTCCTTTCTCTATAAGCTCTGCATGTCATAAGAGGTGTCTAAAATGCCAGGAACAAGATACTAATAACCCTTTCTCCTATATAACTTAATAAATGTAAAAAGAAGAAAAACTGTTTCTTCTTGTTTGGATCACCTTGCTTTGGTGGGAGATGGCCGCTCTGTTAAAAAAATAGAATTTACATTTTACAGTTTATTAATACCAAATTATAATTGGATTATTTTTAATATTTAAGGCTATGTACATTACTTTCTTATGATGTTAGATGTATTTCAAGGTGCTTTAGTAGTTCAAACACGAGGAAATGCATAGCCTGAGATTATTCCACGTAGAATATACAGTATAAATTAAACCAAATCATTTTTTTTATTATTTTACTGTTTTAGTCTTATAATATTTTGCACAAGAAATACCTATGATGTTACAATTGCTTCAAGGCATAATACTTATCAAAACTTAGAAAAAAGTCACATTGTTTGACTGTATTGGGTTGTCCTAAATTAGTGGGGAATCCTTCCACTGTAAAAGGTGACTAAAATGCAAGGAGCAAGGAGCCAGTAGCCCCTTCTCTTATAATTACTAAATTTAAAAAGAAGAGTAATGAACTATCTAGGGCTATTTCTTGGAAAACACTGGAGCTGTCATGTTTGAGTCAATGTATGGTGTGAATATTACATAGAGGGTTTACAGTGTGCAAATGGGGTTAGCAAAGTATACTTCAGAGGGCTGATGAGGGTGGAAAGTAGAACATCTATGGGTTATACCAGCAGTAGTTAGAGGGAGAGGGTAAATGAGGCTTTGAATTTTATGAGCTTGAGCATTCAGCAAGCTTGAGTGAGCCTGTTAGATACAAGTTAATGGAAGCAAGTGGTTTTAATGGAAGCAAGAGGAGGGGATGTTGAAGTCAGAGGGTAATCTGAGCTGTGATGTCAGCATACTTCTGGCAAGACAGTAATTGAATGAATGATAGTGAATATGTTCATTTTATTTGGGTCACCATGCCTTGGTGGGAGATAGTGATTGAGGTAAAAAAAAATCTCAATAACTTTTGGTTATATTTTTTTCAGGAATGGGCTTGTGTTGGAGAATGGGTTTCAAACAGCCATGTGGTAGTTCTGGGAACTGCCCCTCGTCATCTCTTACCAGGTCCACCAGGTGCTCAGCTTCCATTTATCATCACTGCTGCCACTGCTGATGCCTTCATTTATTCAATCAACAGAGATAACATGCAACAGGTCGAGCATTTTTCTTCTTGTTAACACACGATGAATTGCTCAGCCATCTTTCTAGAATGGCATAGACATTACATACAATCCATTGTTGCTTTGGTAATAATAACAACAACATTTATTTTTTATTAAAACATAGGCTGCTTCCCACCAAGGCAGGGTGGCCCGAAAATGAAAAAATTTCATCACCATTCACCCCATCACTGTCTTGCCACAGGCGTGCTTACATTATAGTTATAAAACTGCAACATTAACACCCCTCCTTCAGAGTGCAGACACTGTACTTCCCATCTCCAGGACTCAAGTCTGGCCTGCCGGTTTCCCTGAATCCCTTCATAGATGTTACCCTGCTCACACTCCAACAGCACGTCAAGCCCTAAAAACCATTTGTCTCTATTCGCTTTTATCAAATACTCATGCATGCTTGCTGGAAATCCAAGCCCCTCACACACAGAGCCTTCTCCTTTACTCCCTCCTTCCAACCTTTCCTAGGCCAACCCCTATCCCACCTTCCTCCACTTCAGATTTATACATTGTCGAAGTCATTCTATTTTGTTCCACCCTCTCTACATGTCTGAACCACCTCAACAACCCTTCCTCAGCCCTCTGGATATTAGTTTTGGTAATCTCGCTCCTCCTCCTAATTTCCAAACTACGAATTCTCTGCATTATAATCACACCACATATTGCTCTCAGACAAGACATCTTCACTGCCTCCAGCCTTCTCCTCATTGCAACATTCACCACCCATGCTTCACACCCATATAAGAGTGTTGGTATAACTATACTCTCATACATTCCCCTCTTTGCTTCCACGGACAAAGTTCCTTGTCTACACAGACTCTTCAGTGCATCACTCACCCTTTTCCCCCTCGTCAGTTCTGTGATTCACCTCATCCTTCATAGACCCACCTGCTGACATGTCCACTCCCAAATATCTGAAGACATTCACCTCCTCCATACTCTCTCCCTCCAATCTGATATCCAATCTTTCATCACCTAATTTTTTTGTTATCCTCATCACCTTACTCTTTCTTTTATTCACTTTTAATTTTTACATACCCTACCAAACTCATCCACCAATGTCTGCAACTTCTCTTCCGAATCTCCCAAAAGCACAGTGTCATCAGCAAAGAGCAACTGTGACAGCTCCCACTTTGTGTTAGATTCTTTATCTTTGAACCCTACACCTCTTGCCAACACCTGCGCATTCACTTCTCTTACAACCCCATCTATAAATATACTGAACAACTATGGTGACATCACACATCTTTGTCTAAGGCCTACTTTTACTAGGAAATAATCTCCCTCTCTCCTACATACTCTAACCTGAGCCTCACTATCCTCATAAAAACTCTTCACTGCTTTCAGTAACCTACCTCATATTCCATACACCTGCAACATCTGAAACATTGCCCCACTATCCAACCTGTCATAGACCTTTTCCAAATCCATAAATGCCACAAAAACCTCTTTACCCTTATCTAAATACTGTTCACCTATATGTTTCACTGTAAACACTTGGTCTACACACCCCCTACCTTTCCTAAACCTTGTTTATCTGCTATCCTACTCTCTACCATACACTTTACCAGGTATACTTAACAGACTTATTCCCCTATAATTTTTGCATTCTCTTTTGTCCCCTTTGCCTTTATAAAAATTAACTATGCACACTCTCTGCCAGTCCCTAGGTACCTTACCCTCTTCCATACATTTATTAAATAACAGCATCAACCACTCCAAAACTATATCCCCACCTGCTTTTAACATTTCTATCTTTATCCTATCAATCCCAGCTGCCTTACCCCCTTTCATTCTACCCACTGCTTCACGAACTTCCCCCACACTCACAACTGGCTCCTCCTAGCTCCTACAAGATGTTATTCTTCCTTGCCCTATACACAAAATCACAGCCTCCCTATCTTCATCGACATTTAACAATTCCTGAAAATATTACCTCCATCTTCCCAATACCTCTAACTCCCCATTTAATAACTCTCCTCTCTTGTTTTTAACTGTCAAATTCATTTGTTCCCTAGGCTTCCTCAACTTGTTAATCTCACTCCAAAAATTTTTTTTATTTTCACCAAAATTTGTTAATAACGTCTCACCCACTCTCTCATTTGTTCTCTTTTTACATTGCTTCACCACTCTCTTAACCTCTCTTTTTCTCTCCATATACTCCCTCCTTGCATCAGTTTTACTTTGTAAAAAACCTCTCATATGCTAACTTTTTCTCTACTATCTTTACATCATCATTCCACCAATCGCTCTTCTTCCCTCCCGCACCCACTTTCCTGTAACCACAAACATCTTTGACCCCATTACCTATACTTTCACTAGCCCATGTATCCTCCAATAGTTGTTTATATCTTACCCTAACTGCCTCCTCTTTTAGTTTATAAACCTTCACCTCTCTCTTACTTGCTGCTTCTATTTTCCTTGTATCCCATCTACCTTTTACTCTCACTGGAGCTTCAACTAAAAAGTGATCTGATATATCTATGGTCTCTCTATAAACATGTACATCCTGAAGTCTACTCAACAGTCTTTTATCTACCAATATGTAGTCCAACGAACTATTGTCATTACACCCTACATCATATCTTGTATACTTATTTATCCTCTTTTACTCAAAATATTTATTACCTATAACTAAACCCCTTTCTATACAAAGTTGAATCAAAGGGTTCCCATTATCATTTACACCTGGCACCCCAGACTTACCTACCACACTCTCCTACTTTAGCATTTAGGTCCTCTCCCCCAATTACTCTCTCACTTGGTTCAAAAGTTCCTATACATTCGCTTAACATCTCCCAAAATCTCTCTCTCTCCTCTACACTCCTCTCTTCTCTAGGTGCATACACACTTACTATGACCCACTTTTTGCATCCAACCCTTATTTTAATCCACGTAATCCTTGAATTTATACATTTATATTTCCTCTTCTCCTTCCATAACTGATCCTTCAACATTATTGCTACCCCTTCATTAGTTCTAACTCTCTCAGATACTGCTTACTTAATCCCATTTATTTCTCACCACTGAAACTCGCCTACCCCATTCAGCTTTGTTTCACTTAGGGCCAGGACTTCCAACTTCTTTTCATTTATAACATCAGCAATCATCTCTTTCTTATCATCTGCACTACATCCACGCACATTCAAACATCCCAGTTTTATAAAGTTTTTCTTCTTCTCTCTTTATAATAATGTATACAGGAGAAGGGGTTACTAGCCCATTGCTCCCGGCATTTTAGTCACCTCATATGACAAGCATGGCTTACGGAGCAAAAATTCTTTTCCACTTCCCCATTGAGAATAAAGGAAATAAGAACAAGAGCTATTAACCCCTTGACTGTCGAAACCCCAAATCCTGAGGTGTCTCCTGGTGTCAAAAAATTTTTGGAAAAAAAAAATTCTTATGAAATGATAGAGAATCTTTTCCCGATGGTAATGACACCAAAAGAACAAAATTTGATGGAAAACTTACAGAATTACGCTCTCGCAAAATTAGCGACCTCGGCGATATTTATGAATCGGCAATTTCACCCACTTTGAACCCTATTTTTCGGCTCATTCCATTGTGTTGATAATTTCCACGAAATTATCAACACATGCCCTCTCGTCTGAGGCCTGGTGATCACTACCCCATACCACTGCCTGTTACTGCTCTCAAGAAAAATGCTCAGAAGAGGTGTTTTGTCTGTGGACATACCACAAAACACCCACAAAAACTCAGAGACACTCGTTTTATATGTGAGGAGTGTAAAATACCATTGTGCTTATACCCATGTTTCAAAGAATTCCACAAGCTGCAACAGTTTTAGGAAAGCGTCCAGTGATTGTACATATGTATATACAGTGGACCCCCGCATAGCGACTTTAATCCGTGCAAGAGGGCTGATTGTTATGCGAAATGTTCGGTATGCGAATGAATTTTCCCCATAAGAAATAATGGAAATCAAATTAATCCGTGCAAGACACCCAAAAGTATGAAAAAAAAATTTTTACCACATGAAATATACATTTTCGTACACACAAAGAGAAGGATACATGCACAATAGTAGAGTAGTACATGCACAATATATATTGTGCATGTACTACTCTACTAAATGAAGAATAAATGACACTTACCTTCATTGAAGATGCAGCAATGACTGATGAGACACTGTGTCCTGGGAGTGCCTTTCCCTCCTGAGTACTGTAGGTCCTGTTTGGCATTTTCTTCCAGAACAGGCCTTATCACACTGTGTATGCCACTATGATTCTTAAATCTCTCAAACCAACCTTTGCTGGCTTTAAATTCACCAATATGAGCACTAGTTCCAGGCATTTTTCCCTGTTCACCTGGGTGTTAGTCGACTGGTGTGGGTTGCATCCTGGGAGACAAGATTAAGGACCCCAATGGAAATAAGTTAGACAGTCTTCGATGACACTGACTTTTTTGGGTTAACCTGGGTGGCAAACCCTCTGGGGTTAATTGTTTCTTGGTATTCTCAATAAGCCACACCAACAATGGTGCTACAGCAGCAGCAGCAGCTGACGGTGGTACAGCAGCAACAGACGATGCTACAGCAGCAACAGACGATGCTACAGCAGCAGCAGACGATGCTACAGCAGCAACAGACGATGCTACAGCAGCAGCAGACGATGCTACAGCAGCAGCAGACGATGCTACAGCAGCAGCAGACGATGCTACAGCAGCAGCAGACGATGCTACAGCAGCAGCAGACGATGCTACAGCAGCAGCAGACGATGCTACAGCAGCAGCAGACGGTACTACAGCAGCAGCAGCAGCAGCAGCTGACGGTGGTACAACAGCAGCAGCAGCTGACAGTGCAGCAGCAGCTGACAGTGCAGCAGCAGCTGACGGTGGTACAGCAGCAGCAGCAGCTGTACCACCAATAGTAGCGATGGTTGATTGGGGTTTATTATACAACCTGGCCAGCTCGGAGACACACACTCCACTTTCATACTTATCAATGATCTTTTTCTTCA